TTCAGCACCGTTTGTTGTAAGAGCTGTTCATTCCAAATTGAATGGTCTTGGTGCCCTTGTTGAAAGGGTTCATTTCTGGGCTTTCAGTTCTATTCCATGGGTCTATATGTCTGTCTTTATGCCAGTGCCATACTGTTTTAACTACTGGAGCTTTATAGTAAGTTCTTAAATCAGGCAATCTAAAACCTCCAACTTTATTCTTTTTCCAAAATGTTTTTGGCTACTTGGCGTCTCCTGAGTTTCCATATGAATTTTAGAAGAGATTTTTCTATTTCTGCGAAAAAGTCATTGGGATTTTGATAGGGATTACACTGAATCTGTAGATCACTTTGAGTAGTACTGATGTCTTAACAGTCTTACGTTTTTCAGTTCATGAACATGGTATGTCTTTCCATTTATTTGTCTTTCATTTTTTTTAGCAGTGCTCTTTACTATTCAGTATATGTCTTTCACCTCCATTGTTAAATTTATTCCTAAGCATTTTATTCTTTTTGGTGCTATTATAAATGAAATTATTATTACTTGTTGTTGTTGTTGTTAATCCTCACCCAAAAATATTTTTCCATTGATATTTTAAAAAAATTTTTTTCTTTATTGATTTTAGAGAAAGAGGAAGGGAGAGGGAGAGATAGAAACATCAGTGAGAAAGAACATCAATTGACCACCTCCTGCATGGCCCCTACTGGGGATTTGGCTCACAACCTGGGCATGCGCCCTTACCAGGAATCCAGCCGGCGACCTCTTGGTGCATGGGTCGACGCTCAACCACTGAGCCACACCAGCCAGGCTTTCCATTGATTTTTTTTTTTTTTTTATGGTATATGCCCCTAGCGGGAACCGAACCCAGGACCCTCTGGTCCACAGGCCAACTCTCAACCGCTGAGCCAAACTGACCAGGGCTTTCCACTGATTTTTAGATAGAGTGGAAGGGAGGATGGGAGACAGAGACAGAGACATCGATGTGAGAGAGACACATCGATTGATTGCCTTCTGTACAACCCCTGTGGGGGCCGGGGATCAAACCTGCAACCCAATATGTGCCCTTGACCGGAAATCAAACCTGCGACCACCCTTTGGTCCTTGGGCTGATTCTCTGACCACTGAGCCATACCGGCCAGGGCTGATATTATTTTCTTAATTTTTGGACTGTTCAGGGTTAATGTATAACAGGATATATTTTGAAGGTAGTTCTAAGAAGTGAAGGTTTAGATGTGGAATATAAGAGAAAGAAAGGGGTCAAAGATGACACTGACTTTGTCCTGAGCAGCTTAAAGAACAGAACCAGCATTTAATGATATGGGAAAGATGCAGGAAGAGCAGGTTTGGAAGAATTTAATTTTGGATGTATGACATTTTAAGGTCAAGGGTAAGGATAACTAAGAATTGACCACTGGAGAGGGCAAAGAGAGGTCATGGTAGTCTTGATAAGAGTTGTTCAGCCCTGGCCGGTTTGGCTTAGTGGTTAGAGCATCGGCCTGCGGTACAGAGAGACCCAGGTTCGGTTCCCACTAAGGGCACGTACCTCGTTTGCAGTTTGTCCCGGGCCCTGGTTGGACCGTGTGGGTGGCAACCACTCGATGTGTCCCTTTCACGTTGATGTTTCTCTCTCTCTCCCTCCTACTCTATCTGAACAAAAAATGGAAAAAATGTCCTCAGGTGAGGATTAAAAAAAAAAAAAGAGTTGTTCAATGGAAGGACAGGTGGGAAAGTCTGATTGAAGTGACCTTCAACTGGGACAAGGTGGTGGTAGCTGGGTAATTTTTTTTTTTTAATCCTCACCCGAGGATATTTTTCTATTTATCTTTAGTTATAGTGGAAGGGAGAGAGAGGGGGAGAGAGAAAGAGAGAGAGAGAGAGCGCGCGAGTGGGAAGCATTGACATGAGAGGGACACATTGACTGATTGCCTCCCACATGACCCCGACCAGGGCCGGGGACGAACTGCAACCAAGATACATGCCGTTGGCCGGAATTGAACCCAAAATTCACTGGTCTGCGGGCCAACACTCTACCGCTGAGCCAAATCAGCCAGGGAAGCTGGGTAATTTTTTAAATCTTACCAAATTTTCTCATAAAAACACACAGAGCAGCTTTAAGCCCTTCAACAAAACGAGGAGAAAAGGGTATTTCCACAACTCCCAGATTGCAGTAGCTGAGGTCAGACCACCAAGTGCAGTGTTATTCTGTATAGACATAGTGTCAGCAGCTGTGCAGAGATCATGAAGGGAAAAGAAAATAGGATTCTGTTCTGATAGTCCTAAGAGCCAAGGAATTTAGAAATCAACAAAAAATAGCTCCATCCCCTCAAAAGCAACCGCTTACTGAATAAGAAACCTCAGCAAATGACTGCGAAACAGTTAGTGAAACTGGTAGCCGATTTCTCAGGCTCCAGTTTACAGATAAGTAAACAGAACAAAACCACCGAATCCACTAACGAGCTAAGAGAATATTGAGAAGCTAGGGTGGCCCTAGCCATCAAGAATCTCAAAAATACCCAACAAAACTCTGTATCAGCCTAGCTGGTGTGGCTTAGTGGATTGAGCATCATCCCATGGACTGAGAGGTCCTGGTTCCATTCCCAGTGGGGACACATACCCAGGTTGTGGGCTCGATCCCCAGTAGGGGGTGTGCAGGAAGCAGCCAATCAATGTTTCTCTCTCACATCAGTGTTTCTCTTTCTCTCTCTGTCCCTCTCTCAAAAAATCAATCAAAACCTTTTTTTTTTTTTTTTTTTTTTAATTTTTTTTAAAAAAACACTCTGCATCAGGACACTCTTGGTCTGGACTAGGTTCTTGCCACCTGGATTCCAGCAGTTTGTCATGAAAAAATATTTTAGTGGACCAAAAATGTATTTCAAAATACCAGCCAGGGCAGAGGGGTGGACTGTGGATGTGAACTAAGTAGAGTCATCTTCTTATTCCCCATTTTAGTTTTTTTATGAGAAACTGCTCTTCTGTGATACAGTGGACATACAATATGTTGTACATATTGAAAGAGTAGAGTTTGATGCGTTTAACATGTTTGATGAGTTTAACATTTGATGAGTAAACATGTAGAGTTTGATGAGTCATGGAGAGTTCTCATGCAAGGAACACAGAAAAGGTGGAGTGCTATACCAGTGGCTGGGCAGGATCAGAGGTGACAGGAGTACGCAAGGGCAGAAGCCCCGGCCCAGACTGGAGCTTGCAGAAGGAGCTTACTGGTCCACAAAGCCGAGGAGTCCATGCAGTGGCCACTTGTCATCAGAGCTTGTCTCTGCCCACTGAACATGGCTTCCTGCCAGCAGTGTCATTCCCAAGCTGAGTGTGGCAGCAGGATGGCAGAAGCCCCTACATCCTCCTTGGCTCATCCTGGTGTTCCCTCTGGAGTAACCATTGCACTTCCTTGGTGACCACTAGGTATCCCAAGTCCCCTGAGGCTGTGGGTAGGAAATGCTAATTACTAAGGTTGGAGTCATCACCCCAAGCCTCAGCAGAACCCACAAAGCATTGGGCCAAGAGTAGAAAAAGATATGCCCCCACATGAAAAATAGGGAACTGCTGCTGGCAGAAGTGGAAGTGGATTCCAGGGAGCTGATGATCAGTGTCCACCCAAGAACAGTATTGTTTTTGTCTATGGGTGCTCAGGGAAGGAGCTGAGGGGAGAACTAGAGGGAGCACTGGCTCTGCACCAACTGACCCCTGGGCCAGAGGAAAGCTGTCTGCACACACCATTGCCACTGGTGGCAGTCTCACGTGGAAGTCAGGTGCCTACAGGTAGGATACAGTCCAGAAAGCAAGGAGCTGGTGCTGGGCATCACCCACACTGTGCCTGAAGGGGCTCAGATGCCATTGCTTTCCTGAGGAGATGGGTTTGCATTCCAATGGGAGATCTCCTTGGGGGTAGAAACTTATCTACTTGCTATATTGACAGTGGAGAACTGGAGGCAGGGGTTCCAGAAAGCCAAAGAAGAACCCTGAGGTTCAGGGCTTTCTTGCAGACCTTTGTCCCTGGTGCCCCCCTTTCCTCCTGCCAGCCCCATATTGTTTCCTTTTCACCCTTCTTAGGTTCACAGAACCCACAGGGTTTGTTTCTCTTGCCCTTGGCCATCTGTGCAATGGGAAAGCAGATTCCCAGGCTCCGACTCTGGGGAGGGGTCTCTAGCCCTCCCCTAATGCAGGTTTGAGCCTGTGGGGAGGTAACCCACAGCAAAGATAGTACACAGGCAAGGACCTTAACTTCTCCACCAAAGCCCTGGCAGCCTCGTTGGAAGCTGCAGCAGAAGCTGACACAAATGTCCAAGTAGAGAGGCATATGGGCCAGCGAGCCCCAGAACCTCAAGAGCCCCAGGGCACAGTAGAAAGGTAGCCTGGGGAAGGAGGAGCCCTTCCCTTACTTGGTAGACAGTTATGAAGGACACCTACAGGAGGAATTGTCTCAGTTAGGACCCTGTTGCTCTGAAAAGGGCAGGGCAGGCTGTCAGACTTGGGCCTATGCTGCGGATGGACCTCTGCTCCACTTTTCCTGAATGGCTTGGTGCTCGTGCTCCATGGGGTCCCTAATGCTCTTTCCTGACAGCCCCAACTTGAGCTGATCACTGTGGCCAGGGACCTAGGAGCAATCAGGACAGACACCACCAATAGCCATCCCTAGGGTCAGCTGGGTCTGCACCCCAGAAGCTGGAATAGGGACAATGTCCCTGGGAACTCAGCACTGCAGTAAGGCCCTATGGGGGTAAATGAGCTGGCCTCTTGGAGTTTCTTCTCTCCTGGCCCTGGCCTCACTGAGAGGGCCTCACAGGATGGGCCCAGAACTATCTCAGTGAGAGGCCGGCGAGCGTGGGTAGGTTTGGTGAAAGAGGACAGTGTAGGTGCCTGGCAAGGTTGTGGGACCAGGCCGAAGTGTAGCTTCCTGCTCGTCCAGACCAGGTGCTGCCACCCTGTGCCACCCCCTTCAGGCAGTGACTGAGTGTACATGGGAGGCCTGCAGGCTCAATGTTCTTCCTTCGTGTTGTACTTTTCAGCCTTCAAAAGCTCTGCAGGAGGCATCAATACAGCCTACCAGCCCCACCTCACCCTGTGGTGGCCGCCAGAACTCCCTTGCACAGGAGGCGCCAACTGCTTTCCAGGGTCTGCTCAAACTCTTCCAGAGAAATGCACCGATGGAAGACCTAGGGGCCAAGGGGGTAAGACCAGAGCACGGGCTCCATTGCCATGCCAGGCCCACGTGGGGGCAGGCAGGGCCAGTCTGTGACTCTGCCTATCATGGGCAGTTGTCCCTATGGGCTCCAAGTCCCTGTAGAGAGGCCCGAGTGCCTGGCGCCTGAAGGTAGTGCTGTGAGCCCTTGGAAATCTGAGATGGCCAGTTAGCATTCTAAATGGAAGAGGAAGGCAGGAGAGCCACCTGGGCCCCAGTACCTCAGGTTACACCCACAGGCTCCTCATTGCTTTTCCCCAGGCCAAGGAGAAGATGAAGGAGGAGTCATGGAACATCCACTTCTTTGAGTATGGGCGCGGTATGTGCATGTACCGCACGTCCGGGACACGGGAGCTGGTGCTGAAGGGCATTCCTGAGGGCCTCCGTGGGGAACTCTGGCTTCTTTTCTCGGGTGAGCTTCCCTGCTGACCCCCAGCTGGCCTCCTGAGTTGGCCAGGCAGGAGCTGACAGACCTTCACAGGGTGGAAATGGGACTCCACTGTAAGGAGTCCCATTATTTGGGACCACACCAGGAGGGGTGTTCTAGGGAGCAGACGCCAAGGTGGGTGCTGTCGCCAGGGTGGCATCTTTCCACCTGCAATGGGACACAAGCAGCCCCCAAGGCCTCCTTTCCTTTGGACAGGCTCTGACAACATTCATACCCTTTGCCACTTGGACAGTTTCTGGAGGACGAGGTATCAGCCATTGGAACTTGGGTAGGGTGTCCCCTCCAAGGAGCAGTCACAAGAGAACCTTTGCCTCACATCACATGACTGATCCCAAAGTTCCACTTCTCTGTGGTACATTGATGTCTCCAACCTGCCCTGTCTTTGCCCCTGAAGTCCCAGGAGGGGAGGAAGAGAGAGACAGCTGCCAGCTGTGTCTCCACAGGGGCCTGGAATGAGATGGTGACTCACCCTGGCTACTATGCCGAACTGGTGGAAAAGTCCACAGGGAAGTACAGCCTGGCCACGGAGGAGATTGAGCGAGACCTCCACCGCTCCATGCCCGAGCACCCTGCCTTCCAGAACGAGCTTGGGATTGCTGCACTTCGGCGGGTGCTGACTGCCTATGCTTTCCGAAACCCTACCATCGGTTACTGCCAGGTAAGGAACTTATCAGGGGCCCAGAGACAGCATCACCCACCAGAGGTTCGTGGGAGCAGGTCATCATGGCCCTGGGCCTCAGTGATGGCCTCACATACCTTCAGCTGTGCCTGTGCCCTGTTCCCCCAGGAAATGCCTGACCACAGAAAAGGGTGTAATTAAAAACAATATTTCTTGCTCATCTCATCCCCATGCTATATATTATCTTCTATGTGTTTCTGGTATGGTTCCTGGAGTCATTTGATTATTTTATGTGTGAGATAAAATACACATAAAAAAATTTACAATCCTCACCATTTTAAGTGTAAAATCTGTGGCATTAAGTACATCTTTATGTAGCCAATACTACCATCTATCTCCAGAACTCTTCATCTTGTAAAACCGAAACTCTGTCCCCATTAAACAATTCCCCTAGTTATCCCTAGCAACCACTGTTCTCTGTCTCTATGAACATGACTACTCTAGCAATCTCAAATAGGTGGACTCATAGAGTATTTGTCCTTTTGTGATTGACTTATTTCATTAACCTAATATCCTCAAGTTTTGTCCATGTTATAGCATGTGTCAGAATTTCCTTCCTTTTTAAGGCTAAATAATATTTTACTTTATGGATATATCACATTTTGTTAATCTATTCATCTATTGATGGACACTTGGGTTCATTCACCTTTTGGCTGTTATGAATATGCTGCTGTGAATCTGGGTACAAAGTATCTGTTCCAATCCCTGCTTTCAGTTATTTTGCCCCTGAAGTCCCAGGAGGGGAGGAAGAGAGAGACAGCTGCCAGCTGTGTCTCCACAGGGGCCTGGAATGAGATGGTGACTCACCCTGGCTACTATGCCGAACTGGTGGAAAAGTCCACCAGTGGAAGTGGAAGTGCTGGTCATATAATAATTCTATATTTAGTTTTTTGAGGAATTGCTCTAGCATTTTCCACAGAAGCCACACCATTTTACATTCCCACCAGCAATGCACAAGGCTTTCAATTTCTCCTCATCTTCACCAACCCTGTTATTTATTTTCTGTGTCTTTGTTTGTTTGTTTTATTTTGTTTTGTTAATCTTTGCCTGAAAATATTTTTTCATTAATTTTTAGATAGAATGGAAGAGAGGGAAGGAGAGGTGGGGGGAGAAACATTGACTGGTTGCCTCCCGCACAACCCCAACTGGGGCCAGGGATTGAACCTGCAACCCAGGTATGTGCCTATGACCAGGAATCGACCCTGAGACCCTTTGGTTCACAGGCCAACACTCTGGGCCAAACTAGCCAGGGCTTATTTTCTGTGTTTTCATAACAGCCATCTTAATAGAGTGAGGTATCATCTCATTGCAGTTTTGATTTGCATTTCTAGCAGCATTTCATTGTAAATCTAGTGGGCATTTTTCTGGCCAGGTTAGATGGCTTTCTGTTTCCCACAGAGTGCTCCTGGGTTTCAGAAAAGCAGGCCAGCTCCTCAGGAATCACTCTCTGTAGGGCTGGTGTTCTGCATGGCATCTTACCAGTGCATGGGAAGCCAGTGCGCTAGCTTTAAATAATTTTTAAGCTAATTTGTCAGCGGGTCCCAGTCTTGCTGTAGTCTCCCTGTAGCCATGTAGCCCCACACACAGCTCACGTACACATCCACCTGTACCTGTGTCATACCTCCGACACCGGATACCGCTCTGGAGACATGCCATATGCTCATGTCTGCCCTCTATTTTTCCAAGTGTCTCCTGCCCAATTTGAGAGACTTGGCTGACTACTTTTGTCAAATTGACTTCCTACAGATTGCTTTTTAACAAACTACACAGAGCTCGGTGGGATGATTTGTTGTTGCCAGACTTGCTTGTAGAGTGAAACCCTTTGGTGTCCAGCTCCGGAGCCTCCCTCACCATCTCTGTGCCCACAGGCCATGAACATCGTTACCTCAGTGCTCCTGCTCTATGGCAGCGAGGAGGAGGCCTTCTGGCTGCTGGTGGCCCTCTGTGAGCGAATGCTACCCGACTACTACAACACCAGGGTGGTGGGTGAGTGCCCACTGCCTGGTGGCTCCCCAGAGTAGGGCCTCCCTGGCTTCCTGCCCAACATGTCCCAAATGTGAGCCCTCGGAGGCCTCACAGCCATGCTGCAGGCTGCAGACAGCCCCAGTCCCCACTGGACAAACTAGAAAGCTGGAAAGTAGACAGTCAAATGCAGGCAGGCCTGGTTGTCTCACCAGACTTCCTGTGGATTCCCTAGGAGTGGCTGGCAGGAGGAGGAGATGGTAGTTTTTAAAAGTCAGCTTGGTGCCTAAATTCATAGACATCTAACTCTTCTTAAACATTTTTACTGTGGAAAATGTCCAGCCTCAGCTAGAGTGTATAATAACTATGTATCTGTTTCCCAGCCCCATCTCTGGTGAATTCAGCGGGGGCATCCTGTGTTAGTAGTGGAAGTACACTTGCAAACATATTTTATGACATATATAATCATGTCTGTTCTTTCAAGATGTCCTTCCCCTACTTTTTGTTTTGGGAGAGTCTCTACTCCTGGGGTCCTTTAGAATTGTATCTGTTCTCAGCTGCAGGGCAGGTACACACAGAAGCTACTGAGGCCACTGTTACTTCTAGGGAGACATTCATGTTTCCCCAGAAAAAAATCCAATACCATGGAAGAAATTATTCTTTTAAACCACCAAATGTGTAACCTCTCCTCTTCCTGCCAGCCAGTCCCTAGGGAATACACAGGAAGTCTGGTGAGACAGCCAGGCCTGCCTGCATTGGGCTCTCCACTTTGCAGCTCTGTAGATGGAGCTGGCCAGGGACCCTTGGGCTTCCTATACCTTAGGCCCCGCGTGGAGCCACCAGAGCCAGCATGCAGAGCTCACCGTGCACTTCTTCGTGCTCTCACTAGGGGCCCTGGTGGACCAAGGAATCTTCGAAGAGCTCACAAGAGACTTCCTGCCCCAGCTCTCTGAGAAGATGCAGAACTTAGGGGTAATCGCCAGCATCTCGCTCTCCTGGTTCCTCACCCTCTTCCTCAGCGTCATGCCCTTCGAAAGCGCTGTGGTCATTGTCGACTGCTTCTTCTACGAGGGCATCAAGGTGGTCCTGCAGGTGGCCTTGGCCATCCTGGATGCCAACATGGAGCAGCTGCTGGGCTGCAGTGACGAGGGCGAGGCCATGACCATCCTGGGCAGGTGACCAAGCAGCCTCCCTCCTCCTACTGGAGAACCCAACCCTTCATCAGCCCTGGGCGCTCCTTGGTCAGCATTCAGTGACCATGCCCACCAAGTGCCCTGCCAGGGCTAGCATCAGAGACACTCCAGGAGGCAGGATGGAGCCTCCTTTCTGGTGGGAGATAAATGGCACAAGGGGTAGTGATCACCACTTGAAGAAGCTAAAACGCGAGTTAGCCCAAGCATGTTGGGTGGGAGGGTCCGTTGGTCAGGAGACAGTGGGAGGAGCAGGGCTTCCTGCTCGTGCCTTCCTTAGCCCAGAAACATCACACTCTCCCATCACCCAGGCTGGGGCCCACACTGGGCCTGCTGTGACTGCTGAAAGGTGATCCTGATACCCCTCTCCTCTTCAGTCCCCACATCTTGTCCTCGTAGACACTGGAAGATCCAGCCCCTTCCCTCCATACCCATGATACTCCCTGGGCTCTGTGCCTGCTTCATTATGGTTCTCCCTGCTCTCCTCTCACCCACTAGCATCCCACAGGGATCTTTCTGATCAGAATCACACCTTTTCTCCCCTGAGACATGAGAATTCCCTGTTCTCTGTACAAAGGAGCTGAGTCCCCCAGCCTGGCCTTCACACCCCTTACATCCAGACCTCATTCTAGCCCAGACCCTGAACTCTGTACAGTCCTGCTGACTGTATGCACATATTTGCCCAGACTGGAATGCCAGCTGCCCAGGACAGCCGGGACACTGCCACTTGCCTGCTGAGCCAACCCCAGTGCTATGGGAGCCTGCGGGGTCACAGCCTGCCCTGGGCTGTATGAGCTTTTTGTCCATAGTGATGTCAAGAGGCTCAGCCAGTGGCCAGAGTCTGAGACTGGTTCTCATGTCCATCTCTGATACCAGAAACATCAGGCTTCTCCCTAGGAACAGGAACCTATGGGTATAGGAGATCAGCCACCCTCTCCCACCTGCTGTCAGGGCCAGCCCAGAGAGCCTGGGAGGGTGTGAAGTCCTGGCCAACCAAAGTCAAGCCCTGTCCTGAGCCTGTGTCCCTGGGGAAGCAAGTCCCAAAGATACCCCTACAGCTTGGCTCCTTGCACCATTCTGGGACACTCTTGGTCCCTGATTCTTCCTGGTCAGGGAGTTTCCATGTCCCCTAGGACTCAGCAGAGGGAGAGAGCACATCCTCCCAAGCTTTCTCCTAGTAGGTTTATAAAGGGTCATGCCCGTGGGACCCCCAGAAGACAGCCTGACTTCCTCAGGCCTTGAGGGGGTGAGGCCTTCTCTCCACTGTCTCCAGGGGGATAACTGATTTGCCGGGGCTCATCTCCCACCTGCGGAGGATGCCCAGCCTTCTGCAGGCTCCCTCATTAAGTGAGAGGTTATGCAAATTAGGTCTCTCCACATCACAGCAGTGGATAGGACTCCCCTGTTGCCTGTTAGTGGTCTAGACTTCTGTCCTTTAATCCCTACAGGTACCTGGATAATGTGGTCAATAAGCAGAGTGTTTCTCCACCTGTCCCACACCTTCATGCCCTGCTGACCAGCGGAGATAATCCTCCTGAAGAGGTGGATATATTTGACCTCCTCAAAGTGTCATATGAGGTTAGCACTTACCGGGGCTATATAGCCAGGCCATTCCATTTGGGTGTGTGGGAGCAGGTAGCCTCAGCAGTGGTGGCCTCTGCTCTGTGATTCTATCTTACCTCACTAAGTCACCTTTGGCCCATAGAAATTCAGCAGCCTGAGGGCCTACGACATTGAACAGATGAGGTTTAAACAGAGGCTGAAAGTGATCCAGTCCTTGGAAGATACGGCCAAGAGGAGTATGGTATGATGGCCCTAGGCTGCCTGCAGGAACAAAGGTGGGGTGGTGACCCAGGCAGGCTGCTCCTGCTATGCTGTATTTAGACTGTCCCTCAGGGAGGGGCAGGTGCAGAGCACCCTAGTACTGCCTCAGTGGGACTACACCAGGTACAGGTGCCAGTCACTGTTTTCTTGTGGTTTGGTCACTGGGGAACTTAACTGATACCCCAGGGTCTGCAGGCGAAATTCGATCTTGCTCTGTGCTGCCCTCCACCTGGCAGTGCCCCTGCCCCTGTGCAGACACTCAGCCACTCTCCCCACCCGGTCCACCGTACCTGTGCTATAAGCCTTTGTCCCCTCATCTCTGGAGGGGGATTGACTGAGAAGTTCTAGAACATGTTCCAAAGAGCAAGTACCAGGGTCTTCCCAGCCATGAGATGCCTGCCCCTCACCCTGTGTCCTTGACTGGGCATTCAGGACAGGAAGCCCCTCCTCGTCCCCACCAGGAGGGAGTGTGAACTGAGTAGCAGATGGGTGTTGAGGGAAGCGAGTGGACCACACCCTCTCTCCTAAATGGACTGCCCTCCTCTGCTTGACCAGCAGGCAACACCAAGAGGGTGGTTCTCATTGTTTTCCTCATCCACATGGGGATTATCTCAAAGAGCAGTTTGCTTTTATCATGGCAGGAACTTGAGAATCTATCACTATATTTGTTTCTCTTTCCTTCTAGGTTCGAGCTATACCTGGGGACATTGGTTTCTCAGTTGAAGAGTTGGAGGACCTTTACGTGGTGTTTAAGGTGACAGTCAAGAGCAAGGGCAGCACCAGCACCCACCCTAGTTCCCTGAGTGCATCCTCAGTGCAGCAGCCTCCTGCCAGAGGAGAAAAAGGTTCTAAAAACATCCTCAGATACAGTTACCACAAACTTCGTGTGGTAGAATTTTAATCCTTCGAGTTTAGTCAGGACATTCTCTTAAGTTTCAGAAAAACCCTCTCAAGTCAGTGTACACAGAAGAGGGAATGCTTTGCTCCTGTGACGAAAGCCTAGGGATGCACAGCTTGAGCACGGCAGGATGCAGGTGCTCAGACGTACTGTCAGACTCCCTGTCTCAGATGTCATCGGGACTGCTCTTCCTGCGGAGTGGCAGGGCTGCCAGCAGCAGCTCCAGGTCATCCTGTCCTCTCAGTAACCCCAGTAGAAAGAAAATTTTTCTTTCCAAGTAGTTAGAGTTAAAGGTTCAGGGTCTGTGACTGTAGGAGAATGTTGCTGGGCTAAAGTGGCCATTTGCCTACCCTGTTGCTTGAGGTTGAGACAGAAGGGACTTTCCAAAAAAACTTCAGGTGCTATTAACAGAAGGGGGGAAGGTTGCTGAAGAGCAGGCACAACAAGCAAAGGCCACACTGGTCAGGTCTGGTCATTTCCCATCTGCCCCCTCACCCCCAGCTGCCTCTGGTTCAGCCCCTGAGGTGGCCACTGTGCTGTGGCCTTGGGGTCAGAACAGTTAAGCCAGCACTGCCCCCTTGCCCACCATGGCCCGCTGTGACCTGTCGCAGCTCCCATACCTGTGAATGAGGGTTGGTGGTTCCAGCTTAAGAGGTCCTGTGAGGCTGTGTCTGGCTCAGTGCCCACCATTCGGGCCTCTGCAACCCTGGACGGAGGAAAAGGGTGGGCACATGGACCAGCCTGGTGGTCCTAACCACCATCTCACCAAGCTGTGCCCTCTTCAGGCCAAGCACCTCGAAAGTCAGTACTGGGGGAACAGCAGGCCCACTTCTGTGCATCGGGACCCCAGCCTGCCCTACCTGGAGCAGTACCGCATCGACGCCAGCCAGTTCCAGGAACTCTTTGCCAGCCTGACACCCTGGGCCTGCGGTGCGCACACACCTGTGCTGGCAGGGCGCATGTTCCGGTTCCTGGACCGAAACAAGGACTCACTGATCAACTTTAAGGAATTCGTGACAGGGATGAGTGAGTGGCTTCAGTATCAAAGGGAGCCCAAGACCCTTGATAAGGGCAGGGCCATTTTCCACTGGATACGTGAGGGCCCAGTGGGGTTCCTTCCTCCTTCAGCCTGGTGCTGCCCACTGCTGGGTCTGTGGACCCCAGAGAAGGGTGAAGCTCAGAGGAGAGCAAGGGGCCTGGGCCCACTCCCAGGACTCCTCCTAGAGGGAGTCAGCTGTGAGGAGGGGCCCAGAGAACCTACTGAAAGGAGAGATGTGCAAATGAGGGCCAGCTTGGAGCTTGGACCCCTCTTATCAGTGAGCCTCTTTTCTGGCCTTTTTCCACAGGTAGGATGTACCATGGGGACCTGACAGACAAGCTCAAGGTGCTCTACAGGCTGCACTTGCCCCCAGGTGAGAGCTCCCCTCCCCCTTCCTAATAAGTGCCACTCACCTATCCAGAGCTGGCCCGGCAGCATCCAAGGCACAGGCTGGGGAAGGGGGAGGGGAGCATAGGGTGGGTTCCCTCACCTCATGAGCTAGTGCTAAGGCACAGCCCAATTCTGGTCTGAGAGCAGGGCCATAACCTGGGAGTTTAGCAAGGGTAGCCACAAGGAGAGTTCTCAAAGGTGGGGTCTTGAGGGAACTGTGACTGGACAGGTGAAAATTCTGGCCCTAGGCACTCTGCTCTAGGATAGAGCTGCCCTCCTCCCTGCTGTTGGCCACACCAAGTGTCAGCAACTGCCTAGGAGTGATTTTTAAATATCCCCATAGGCTATCACTTCATTGGCCTGGGGCTCGGCCCAGGTGGTTAGTTTAAAGATTGGTCTCTGCAGCCAGAGCTGGAAAGTCCTGCTCTTCAGTGCTCTCTCGTGGCTAGTTTTCCCCTGCAATGTGACAAGCAACAGTGGCCTTCAGGCGCCTCCAGGGAAATCAACCCGTGATTCTGCTGGGGGAGAGGCTGGGGCTCTCTTCCACTGGGCCAGGAGCCCACTTTGTCCAGCACTCCAGTGCACCTGGGCCCATGCCCTGCCACCTTCCCCATGTGCCATTCACTGTTCAGCCCTCACTACACTCTCCATACAACAGGGAGAGTAAGCCACCCACAGAACCCACTGTGTGGGTTCCCCAGATACTGCTTACAGAGACTGTCCCCATATGGACCAATGTCCAGGATGCATGAAGTGAGAAGAGCAAGTCACTTGTGCACAGATGATCCCTGCATGTATACTGGCAGGAGCACAAAACATCCCAGAAGGTCCTCTGGGTCACATCATAGGGGGAGAAAGTCTGGCCATTCACTCGCCTCCAGCTGCACTGACTGAATTTTTACCTGGGACACCTATTACACTTTCAAACACAGTGTAAAAATCAAGAAAGTAGCATAACCAGAATCCAGCTTCATTGTGACCACACGCTACATGGGCAGGGCTGGGAGTGGTGGGGCACACCAGTGGGAAACACACCTTTGTCCAGGACTCAGGAGGATGGCCTTGAGGAGAGACATGGTTTCTTCCTGCCCTTACCCTCCTTTCTCTGTGAGCACAGCCCTGAGTCCAGAGGAGGCCGAGTCAGCCCTGGAAGCAACCCACTATTTCATTGAGGACAGCTCCTTAGAAGGTGAGCACTGCTGGGACAGGCCGCCGCAGCCTTGCTGAAGCCTTCACAAGTGGCCTGCAGCCCCGGGGGTGTTGTGGAGCCTGCCTTGTTGGGCCGCTGGAGAGTGAGGGCACTGCCTGTCTCTGGGCTAATCCTGGGTGTTCTCATTTCTCTCGTCTCTGCCTTCCTGGACTCTGGCCTCTCCCTCCCTCTCTCTGCCCTCCACTTCTCCACCCTCCTTTCCAGCATCTCCAATGGCCCCAGATCTGGATCTTTACCTGCCCTGGGAAGCTCAAGGTCACTCCCTGGGGGGCTAGGGCACCACTCTGCCCTGTGTTTCCTCCAGGCCTTGGGCAGTTTTCTGTACGGTCAGGAAGCCTGCAAGTTCTTGGTTCCCAAGGACACCTCCTGTGTGGTTAAGGGTTCTTGTGAACTGTGGGAGGAGAAGGCAGCCTCCGTGCTTGTCATGGCCAGTCAGTGAGGACACACAGCGTGGTGGGCATCGCGCAGGCACCAGAGCATCAGCTCCACAGCCATGTGCAAAAAGTATTCTGTTGTCTCATTCATAGGAAAAAACACAAATGCTATCATTGCAACAGTGTACAACACAAGCAGGGATGAATGGAGATGGAGGAGGATGGTGGGTGCTTTCCTTGAAAAATGTTTTTCATGTTCCACACAACTTTTCTGTTAGGGAAAAATATGTTTGTTGAACACCAGTTAGAAGTCATTCCTATGCTATATTTAAAGCCCATTGGGAACATCAGATCCAGGGTTGGTGGGGCCTTCTGGTCCTGGGATTTGGCACTTGAGCTGGTGGTATATACTGCATTTACAAAACTGACCGAAATTCTGCCCTGTAACTTCTCGGGGGTGGGGGGGGGAGTGCAGGAGGGCATTACACACCAAGGATAATACACCCAACAGAAATTAAAAACAACATGTATCAGGATTCCCAGGGCAGTCAGTCCTGTTGACCTTGACTGTGAAGCTGAAGACTTCAATTTCAAGTATACTAACTAAACATGCTTCTGTCATACTCAGAACCTGGGCCAGTCACGGGTAATTTAGGTTTGTCCCAGGCACTTCTGGGAGAGGCCAGGGACTGGGGGTACAGAGCCCTGTTCTCAGACTCCACATAACCCCCAGGCAGTGGGTCTCCATTCCACAGTGAAAAGCCTGAGCCCAAAGAGATACACCTGTCCCCACCACCACACAGCAGTGAGGGCCATTTAGAGCTGGGAAGCTGCCACCAGCCAGAGGTCCTTCACCAGCTACACTGCCCCAGGGAACTGGTCTGGAAGAGCGAGGAGGCCTGCTTCTCCCCCTGTTCAAGGTCACTGTAGGAAGTACAGTGTGTGCCAACTCCAGCAAATGTGTCACTTTTAGAAATACAGAGCTAAGATATATTTAAAACTTTTATCTTCAGCTGGTGTGGTGGTAGAAGGTTGAATTGCTAATTAGGATCCCCTCTGACCTTTTTCAGCAGAGACTACAGAAATTAGTTCTTGGACTTTTTCTCCACAATATACACCATTATTTACTTAAACACTAAGTAGTGAGATTTCTATTCCTTTGAAAGACAGGAAGTGAGGGATGGGTGGCTCTCAGGGTTTAATGTGACCAGGTAGAAAGGAGCAACCACTGAAGTAGTGCTGACGGGTGGCCAGTGCAGAGAGCAGCGCAGGACCTGCTGCTGCATGCAGACCTCAGTGGTCTGGAGTCACAACAGAAGAATGTTCTCTCTGTTCTTTTTTTTTTTTTTTTTTTTGGTCATCCAGAAGTACTACTGCAGGAGGAGTGAGAGAGAGCTGGAAGTGAGGACTTCCAAGAAAAAAGAGGAGGTATATATAGGCCAATCTCCACTGCTGCTGGTAGAAACACCAGGGCAGTGGGGTCTGGGTACCCTGTCACTTTAGGAAAACCCCCATCCGGGACATGGCAAAGCCTGCTGACCAGAAGGCTCTCCCTTTGGAAAGGGTGAGGCCATGAGGTGAACGTGTCCCATCCGCTGCCAGGGAAGGCCCTGCTCACATCAGCCCCGGGCCTGAATCTTCTTGTAGCTATGAACACCCCAGCTGTTGCTGTCTTTCTCCCAGGGTGCCTGCTCTCTGCCAGGACCCTTCTCGTGCTATCCTCATGCCAGCCTCCATGTGGTTCCATGACCATCTTGGGGAAGACAGGTTGAATCATCTATCAGTTTAGGTCAAACCTACTTAGCACAACCCAGGGGAGACCCATGGATGTTCTGGGGTGTTCTTTTACAACCTCCCCAAGTGCTAGGGTGTTTTATAAAAGGACTCAGGTAACTCTATGCTAGACCACACCCCAACTCACACATTCCCTGCTTTCTCTATGATTTGATAGATGAAGTTTAATTTTTTCTCCCAACTCACAGAGAAGGGGATCAGCCCTCCCAATTATCAACACTACCTTCAAATGTGGGCCAAGGAGAAAGAGGTTCAAAAGGACAACATTAAGGACTTTCCCAAGATGAACCAGGTAGGCCCCATCAAAGCCAGCAGCAGACATGTTGCAGGAATAGTGGCTGAGCCGGGTCCTCCCACCCAGTACCCCTAGAGTGAGGATATTCTCCTGTCTACCTTTACATCCTGCTAGTCAGATGGCAGGGATGATTCCAGAAAAACAGGCCAGGTGCTTCAGGGCCTTGTTCAGGTCAGTGTCTCATGGTGACAACTTGGTCACGTTTACTCAATATCCGTGAACCAGAAAAACACTGGAGAAGGTTGGCTTCAGATAAGCAGAGACTTAACATACCACCATCTACAAGGAGGCAGCATCACAGTGCTTATTCTCCTGCCAGGCCCACGTGGGTGCTCTGCACACACAAGCTTGTTGTTTATTTGCTGGTCTCTAGATTTGGAGCCTGGCATCTTGGCGAAGGTCTCAAGGCCAGGACCACAGGCATGTAACCAAAGACCGTTCTTGAGCTACAGCCTGAGCATGGCCCTGCCGTGCCACAAGGGGACCCTGCAGTTAGGCGCTCCCACACGCAGACTGAAGAGTGGGGCACCCATGGACTAGAGCTTCATCCCATTCTCAGGCCTGCCTGTGTGATTTCAAGACCTGGAATGGGACCGACCTCCTCACCCCCATAACTGACCAGGCTGCACTTGCCTTGTCACTACCTCTAAGGAGCTTCATCAAGGACAGAGTTGAAGTTACTTTTTTTGGTTGATGTTGTTAATCCTCACCTGAGGATATTTTTTCCATTGATTTTTAGAGTGAGTGGAAGGGAGGGAGGGAGGAAGAGAGAGAGGAAGAAACATCAACATGAGAGAGAGATATATATCAATTGGTTACCTCCCGCGAATGCCTCATCCAGGGCTGGGATTGAACCTGCAACCCAGGCACATGCCCTTGACCGGCAGTCGAACCTGAGGCCCTTTGGTGCACAGGCCTATGCTCTAACCACTGGACACGACCAGGTGCAGGTGTGTGGATGTGACTAATGTGCAACACCCCACAGCAGGTAGATGGCCAGGCAGTCTGACTTATCTTTTACCATCTCTCTAACCTTTTTTTGTTTTATCCTTTAAAAGGAACAGTTCATTGAGCTGTGCAAGACACTTTACAACATGTTTAGTGAAGACTCCATGGAGCAGGACTTGTACCACGCTATTGCCACAGTGGCAAGCCTACTGCTGCGCATCGGGGAGGTGGGGAAGAGGTTCTCGGCGCAGCTAGGCAGGAAGCCCAGGGACAGTACCTCCGAGGAGGACCAGCCACCAGCCTTCAACCCCCCTCATGACCCTCCCCAGGAGCTCCGGCCACCAGCTTTGGGCTACCCCCAGGCCACAGCTGGTGGAGACACCCAACTTAGGAAAGTACCACAGGAGAGCCAGGTGGTGGGCAAAGGGGGCAGTGGTGAGGGTCTGGGCTCCCCCTCCCAGGATCTGATGTCTGATGATGAAACCAAAGATGACATGTCCATGTCCTCCTACTCGGTGGTCAGTGTGGGCTCCCTACAGTGTGAGGACCTGACCAACCACACTGTGCCAGTGGGCAGGGAGGTCTGCAGCCCCTTAGCCACCACCCACAGCGGGGGATCTGTCGACACCGACTGGAGCATCTCCTTTGAGCAGATACTGGCCTCCATCCTGACTGAGTCTGTGCTGGTGAACTTCTTTGAGAAGAGGGTGGACATTGGACTCAAGATCAAGGCCCAAAAGAAAGTGGAGAGACAGTTCAGCACCTCCAGTGACCATGAGCATTCTGGGGTTTCTGGCTGAATACTCTGCCAAGTATGGGCTGACCTCTCTCCTCCCTTTTCGTCTGTTTTCTCCCTAAGGACACACCCTCCCCTTCTCCCCAGGAGCAGTGAATTCTAAAGGGAAAGAAGGCCGAACAGCTGGAGTTGGAGCCCAGGCAGAGGCTCCTCATCCCTCTTCCAACCCTGGACCCAGTGGGTCCTGCAGGGTCCAGAGCCTTCATGTCTGCCTTTGCTTGCCCAGTGCCTCGGTGCCTGTGCCATAGCCAGGCACACCAAGTCCTGCACCCACAGGTGCTCTCCTGTAGCTGCCTGCTTGGGGCTTACCTGCCTTTTGGGTATCAGTGGTAGCTCTCCAGGAGCCCCTGAAACAGAACTCTTGGCCGAGGAACACTGGGTGCCAGGCAGGTGTATTCTAAATGTTCTTTCAGCTTGTCATCCTAGCCATTAACCTTAAAAGCACATTTGTCAGTTCCTTATGTATTTCCTTGTGTTCATTTCAGTTAGCTAAAAATCACATTGTTCAATGCCTTAATCCCTGAAAACCAAAAAACACGCTGTAGACCTGGCCAGTGTGGCTCGGTTGAGTGTTGCCCATGCACCAAGAAGTCACCTAATTCAGTTCCCCAATAGGGCATATGCCTGGGTTGTGGGCTCCATCCCCGGTAGGGGGCATGTAGGAGGCAGCTGATTGATGTTTCTCTCATCCATTTTTCTCTCCCTCTTTCTCTAAAGTCATTAAAAACAAAAACCACACTATGTATAGAGTCTAACTGTGGCCCTTGACCACTGCTTGGGGCTCCAGGCTTCTCTGCCTCAGGCTGCCTTCCCCCATAGGGGTGGGGGTTCAAGGCTCCCAGGGAGGATGGGGACACAGAAGGTGCTGACACAAGCTGAGCAGGGTCTGGCTGACCCATGACAGGGAGCTCTGAGCACTGCACAGGTGTGAACAGTCTGGATCTGGATGCAGGAGGTGTGTCCTGTTGGGTTTAGGAAGCTGATTTTGGGGCCACCGGTGACAGGCTGAGCCACAATGACCCTCTTGCTTTGCATCAGGAACTGATCATCGGTGTCCTGTGTTACACACACACACACACACACACACACACACACGGCTGCTCTTGCTTCTACTAAAAGACACATTGCTGTTTTAAAATTTAATACTGTAGCATTTATTGAGGTATAACTTACCAAAAAACGTGTTTTAATTTACAATTCAATGATATTTAGTAAATTTATAGAATTGTGCAACCATCACCAGAGAGCAATTTTAGAATATTTTCATACCCTAGAAAGGCCCCTCCTTCCTTGCGCAGCCAACTCCTGTTCCCACCCTCAGCCTTGTGGACAAAACAGGGGTGCATACTAAACCTGACAAGCTCAGGGGAGGCCTGCATAGCCTGAGTTTTCAGAGACCTAAAATGACCACAAAGGATGGTCTGAAATTAAAACTTTGTAACTAAAAGCAGTTTATGGTGGTTAGTCATGTCCTAGATAGATCTCTTCCCTGACAAAGGTCAATCTTTACCTTAACTGAGCCGGTCTGTTGTCTTTTTGCATCTACATTAACATATCTTTAGAATATCAAAGTAATTTCTCTTTCCAGACCCCTTAAAGCACAGGCACCACTCTGCAGAGACCGCAAATCCCCTCATTGTTATTGAGTTTATTGTTGACTGTTAACTATCCTGTACCCACCTATGTAAAAGATGTGTCTATCATTTTACTTTTCATCCAATCCCAGAGGTTTCCCCCCTTGCTTTCTCCCACCTCCTTAATGTGGATTCTATGTAACTCACTTGCATCTCCTCTTTTTATTATAATGTATAAAATAAGGTGCAAAACTGCCATTCTCCAGAGTGTTGTCTCAATCTGTTGAGATTTTGCTTCCCAGCAATTGACAGTTCGGCTCAAAGAAACTCACAAAAATTCTTCACTGGTGCTTCTTACGTTGACAGCTCCAGGAAACCACTAATCTACTTGCTGTCTCTTTAGATTTCATGGCACTTTAAAAATAACGATCTCTATGATTTTACCTTGTTTACAAATTCTAGGTCACAGTCTCAATAAATGCAGCAAAACAACATCAAGGGAACGGAACAACTGTTTTCTTTCTTAACAAAAAGTCTTTAATTGGGTGGTCCTGGTCAAAAATGGCAACAGCAGCTGGGCCACAGTTGGAACAGCCTGTGTCTAGTGGCACCCACTGTGAGGAAGGCTCAGCTCCCATGTAGAAGGCCCTCACCTACTTGTTGCACTCCACAGGGTGAGAGTGAGCATACTGAACATCTTCCTGAAGCTGCACTACAGAGAGCATGACTGACCTGAGTTTGTCACCTACTCCCTTACTCCAGATTTGGTCCATAGATCAGCAGATGGCCAAAGGCCAAAAACCAGATGGGCCCTCTCTTCCCCCAAGTGCAAATCCAATTTCTTACTAAAAAGATGAAGCAATGCCCAGCCGGTGTGGCTCAGTTGATTGAGCATCGTCCTGTGCACCAAGAAGTTGCCAGTTTGATTCCCAGTCAGGGAACATGCCCGGATTTAGGGCTTGATCCCCAGTAGGGTACATACAGGAGGCAGCTAATGGATGTTTCTCTCTCTCTCTCTCTCTCCCCCCTCCCTTCCTCTCTCTGAAATCAATAAAAACATTTTTTAAAAATAATTTTTTTAATCCTCACCCGAGGATATTTTTCCCTTTATCTTCAGATAGGGTGGGAGAGAGGAACATCAATGTGAGAGAGAGACATCAATTGGTTGCCTCCCACACAACCCTGACCAGGGCCAGACAGACGAAACCGAGGCATGTGCCCCTGACTGGAATTGAACCCGTGACACATTGGTCCACAGGCTGATGCTCTGATCACTGAGCCAAACTATACAGGGCAAAAAATAATTTTTTTTTTTTTATCCTCACCCGAGGACATTTTTTGCATTTATCTTCAGATAGAGCGGGAGGGAGAAAGGGAAGAAGAGAGAGAGAGAAACATCAATGTGAGAGAGACACTTCGACTGGTTGCCACCCACACAACCCCAACTGGGGCCGGGGACAAACTGCAACCAAGGTATATGCCCTTAGCGGGAACCGAACCTAGGACTCTCCGGTCTGTGGGCCAACGCTCTAACCACTGAGCAAAACTGGCCAGGGCAAAAATAATTTTTTAAAAATAAAAAAGGTGAAGCAAGAGGAAGCACCAAGGTCCCAAGACCAATGATCTCCCTTGGCAAAACTGCCAGGCAGCTGCTGAAGATCTTGGCTTGGGGTCGGTAATCTTCCTATCCAGGCAGTCTCAGGGACTCCCCCTAGAAGCCCCCACTACCACTTACCAGAGAGTCCCAAAGTTGTCCCAATGGAGTCAGCAGAAATTGAAACCAGAGGTCAACTGAGTCCAGTGCTTGTGCTACCTGTCACTACCAAGTCAAAAAGCAGAGACAGGGATTGGAATATAAGTGAGTAATAACATCAAATGCCAGAAATTTGGGAACGTGATGGGTAAAAACTCTAACACCCACCTTCCTTCTTAAGCTTGTTAGGAGTAAGTTTATAAAGGGGAATTAGGGGAAGGGAATGTGGGTAGGGAGTACAAAAGGATTCAGGTGATTTACAGTCCTGGAATTTGAGTCCCTGTGGGGGTCTTGGATCTTGATGAACGTCTTCATTACTGGTCCTCGCAACAGTATGGTCAGCATTCTGAAACCGGTCAAGCAGTGATTGGGTGTGCAACATCCCAGTATTTCTGAGACCTAATGGATCAGATTCCGCATTACTGGTGGCCAGGGGTCTAAGTTCAGGGCTGGGTTAAAAGTCTTTGTTCTACCCCTGGCTGGTTTGGCTCAGCGGTTAGAGTGTCGGCCTGTGGTCCAGAAAGACCCGGGTTCAGTTCCCGCTAGGGGCACGTACCTTGGTTGCAGTTTTTCCCCAGCCCTGGTTGATCGTGTGGGTGTCAGCCACTCGATGTGTCACTTTCATGTCGATGTTTCTCTCTCTCTTCCTCTCTGTCCCTCCCACTCTATCTGAACAAAAAATGGAAAAATGTCCTCAGGTGAGGATAAAAAAAAAGTCTTTGTTCTTGCCCTGTCAACTGAGATTGCAACAAAATCTTAGCCAGAACATAAGTTTAAACATATACAGTTGATTAATCAATTACTTACACATTCTGTTAGTAAAAGGGAGGGAAAAGAAGAAAATAGGAGGAAAAAAATAAAAATCACATTTTTATTCTACCCTTATACCCCTATCACAGTAACTCAAATGTGGAAATAAACAAAGATCCTCCTAAATGAGAATGCAGACTATTTCCCAGAGCTGCTACAGAAAAGGAGTCAGCCGCCGTCATTTGCATTTAGCAGAGAGGCAAAGACAGGCAGAGGAGTGGGAAAGCTTTAGAGTGAAAACCAGGCAAAGTTTCGAGTGTGTGTAGAGTGGGGACCCTGAGACGGGCAAACTAGAAGCAGGATGCCTTATATGATTTGTTTGGGGAGCATAATTGGCTTTCTCTGGTTTGTCTTCAAATGGAGGAGAAAGTGAAAAGTATGGAAGCTGGCAGTTATTGACCAAGTACTCACTGCTGTAGAGGTTGTGGTTTGGCTTTGGGGCCTGGTTACTGCAGAAGTTGTCATATGTGGCCTGGTCACCGTCCCTTTGTATATTCAGTCTCAAACATAAATTTTTAAACTGTTTTTTCTAACATATGCTATTGTACAAAATTTGGAAAATATAAAAAAATTATTAAAATGTATAAAATCATCTATAACCCTAACCACCCACACCTGGAAATAAATAATGTCTGGTTTTACAGAATTGAAATTATGTACACTGCAACCTCCTTGCTTTCCAACAGTATACATGACAGCATTTTCACTTCAACTTCATACCCTATAAACAACCTACATAATAATCCATGCTGAGTTATCATAAGCAACCATTCTTTAGCCTGTTATTTCCATTTCTTTCTGTTATACTTCAGTGAACACTAGTACATAAATAATACATCTGGGCAATTCATAGTGTTTCATTGTAACTGCCAGAGTGCTTTCCAGAACGGTTTTCCATAATCCTCACCGTGGGATATTTTTTTCCATTGATTTTTAGAGGGGAAGGGAGGAGAGAGAAACACCAATGTGAAAAGAGACACATCCATGGGTTGCTTCCACGACCCCGACCAGGGCTGGGGGATTGAACCTGCAACAGGTTTCTGCCCTTGACTGGGAATGGAACCCTCCTCATCGACCCTTTGGTCCGTGGGTGTTCGCTCTAACCACTGAGCAACACCCACCAGGGTATAATTGTCCTTTTTTAATTTAAATCCTCACCCAAGGACGTCCTTCCATTTACTGTTCAGGTAGAGTGGGAGGGAGAGAGAAACATTGACGTGAAAGGGACACATCCAGTGGCTGCCACTCGCACGACCCAACCAGGGCCGGGGACAAACCCCAACCAAGGTATGTGCCCTCAGCGGGAACCAAAGCGGGGTCTCTCCAGACCGCAGGCCGAGGTTCTAACTGCTGAGCCAAACTGGCCAGGGCTATAATTGTCTTTTAACTAGACGGTTTGTTTTGTCAGGCACGTGTAAATGTTTAGCGGGCTGGCCTTAGGGTCCCGGTGCAG